ATATGATAAAAACAAAAACGCATTAAAAAACAAAATTGGCGCCTGGCCAACCTCTTTTTGTGTGCGGCAGACTCTGTTTTGTTAATCTTTTTGGCTGATTTTCTCTATAAATAACGTATTAAAACTCCGTTTTCGATAACCAGATTTCACCAATTCTCACCAACTCTCATCAAGATTTTCTTGATTATTCTCTCTTTCTTTCTCTTTTCTAAACTTTGTTTTCACATACAAAATTCCGCATTCGCAAGATCTAGAAACACCTAGCCATATTCGAAGTTGTCTTCGCCCTAGACGTGAAAGGTTTAATTTATGAGGGTTTGGTCCCAAATCTCTCTTTCAATTATTTAATTAAATTGTTTTAATTATTATTTTCCTTGAAGTTACTAACGTGTGTATTTTGTTATTAGAAAGAGGTACGAGGCATCAAAGTAAGTGTTTTAATTGTTTTAATTGTTATTATGATGTAGAAATCATGTTTACATTGTTGTTATGATATTCCTAGTATTATGTCTAGGGTAATTTTAATATTAAATATGATGGTTACGATGCTTCCTATGTTCTTCCTAATATTTATGATTGTTAGTATCATGTTAGGGCTAAAGATTTGATTTTTATTTCTTAGTGACATGCTAGGGTTTGTTATTAATCTTGTTAGTATCATGCCTAGGATATTGCTATTTTTATTATGCTTTAATATTAACATGAACATGATTATGATTATAATTGTTATAATTTATGATTATTATTATTTTGATGATGATTATTTTATTATGATTATAATTTTATTATTGCTATAATAATTATTATTATGATTAATATGGGTGTTATCATGATGATTATTCTTAATTATATTTGTGATGATTATAATTATTATTCATGATATTTATTTATTATTATGTTGCTTGATATTTATTTTTATTGCTTGATCACACCTTTTATGCATGTTTAAAGGGAATTGGTACTTGTAATCACGCTTAATAAGATAATTAATAATCTTGTTTAGGGTTAATTGTGATTATAAATTCAAGTGATCGCTAATAATAGTTTATTCGTGCATTAAATTCAACCAACATAGATAAACAGGTTTAGGGTAATCCTATTGATTGCATGTTAATTAAAAAGCGCACATGAATACGATCAGAATAAAGTAGAGGCCCATTATTAGGGCAGGTTTAATCTCTTTTAGGTTGGATTTGTACCTTCATCCCTGAACCCTTATTTGGTTCTAGACCTTATGGAGTTGACGATCTCTTGGATCGTTAAGGGGTGTGACCTCACCTCGTGAACGGTTTACAAGTTCCTATAAACTTGTTGGCGACTCTTTTGCTCTATCTTCTTCCCTTTTGGACGCCACCGTACTTTAGTGTATGATCACAGTGGGGTTCAAGCTAGTGGGATTAAAGCTTGAAATTATTCCCTACACTTAGATATTCCTAAATCGTATTTTAAAGAGTAAAGTGGGTATTTAAAGGAAAGGAATTTCTAGGGTGTTACAAAGTGGTATGTGGGAGCTTTGGTTGAGATTTTAAATTACCACTAACCCGAGAACGTTTTTCTTACTATGATTTAAACTTGGCCAACTGTTAATTTAATTATGCAATGCTATTTGTTCCGATTTTATTTCTTTTTTTTAGGGGCCGAATTATTTATTTATTTATTTTATTTTGGTCCAATTTTTTTTAAAGGGGACACTCGAATTTTTTTCAGAGTGTCCGAATTTTTTTTAGTAGGGCCGAATTTTTTGGCCCTCTTCCCAGTCTTTTCGAATTTTTTTTTAGTAGGGTAAAAATATTTTTAGTTTGTTAATTTTGCAGGGAGCAAGGATTGAGGTAAGAATTATGTGTTAAAAACTTTTATTAACATGTTGGTGAGCTTGGGTAGGAAAAGAAAGGGCATATAGGCTAGAATTTAATTTCTTCCATGTGTGCATAATTTTATTTGGGGTGTTCAAGCATGTTGTATGACTAGATGTTTGTTGATGAAAGCATGCAATATATGTATTATTTTATGTGACCCTTCAAAATTGTATGATTGAACACCTAACTTAATTTCCTACAAGACTGTATTATTTATTTTATTTTCTTTGTGAAGGGAATTCTTTTCTAAGCCTTTTTCTCTACAGGATGCCAAACTTTCCAAGAAAATATACACAAATGGGATCACTTGTAAAGAAACATAATGAACACCCCTACGACTTTGTAGAAAAGATCAGATACTTTTGTTCCTACATGAGCAATGTCTTACGAGACAGAGTTTATGACACCCCTGATCGTATTTCGGCTATGATTGTCCATTGTCTTCCAGAGGAGCCTCCTTACATTGCTGTCAAACAGAGATTTTCTGATTTTTACCTTCTAGGAGACATCCCAAATTACCATAAATACAAAGACTATTATGGCCAGTGGTATCCAGATTATAAATTCTTGACTAAATATCTCGTAAGAGTGGAAAAAGCTCATTGTCAACACTTAAATCTTCCCTACCCTGACTACTACTACGATAATCCAGTAGGGAACAATCCTCCTCCTAAACAACAACCAGGAAATTCTTCTTCTTCTTCTTCATCAGGGGGTAGTCAGGCAGTAAATGGAGAATAACAAGAGGGTGATAGTTCACTTATGGAGATTTCTAATCCTAATGCACCACCAACTCCAATAATAATAGACATTTCATCGGATGAGGAGGAAGAAGGGGAGTTTGTACAAGTAGAACTCGAACCTGAGTCACCTAAACCAATGGAGGAATCAAATGATTCTGACTTCGATCCTTCAAGCTACAAACAATCCACTGACAAAAGGGACAACATTCAAAAGGATTAGATTTTATAACTTTCCTCGTCATGAATTCACCGTCTTTATTTCAGTTATTATTATTTTAAGTTTTAAATTAATAAGTGGCATGACCACATAAGTTTCTAGAAAACAATTTTTATTTTAGTAATTTCAGTCTATTTTAATCAATAAGATCTCATTTATTTCTTTGTCAAAATTTTTATATTATTAATAAATAAATTCATTTATTTTCCAAATCTTCCATTTCACATCACTATTCCAATAGCCAAAATTCCAAGCAAATTAATTCCGATAAATATTTCTAAGCTATGGGAATCTATGAGAATTATTATTTTTATCTATGTGATGCTTTATTAAATGTATGGTTGGTTAGCAATCAATAATTGATTGACAAAGCTAAAAATTTAGGGAATTCTTAGCTTTCGCTATCCCAATTTGTTAGCTTCAAATTTTACTGTGAATGTTTAAAGGGTGCTAGGTAATAGATGGGTGTATGTCTTGAGAACTAACCATAGCCATTTCTAATATAGACCCTTGTCCTTAATTCAGGAGAAGCAAAATGGCAGGGGGAAGTAATTCTGGTAATGGTGGAAACGATTTGAATGAAGTATTGAGGAAATTGGCAGCAGTTGCCCAACAATTGGCAAGAAACTCAACTGGTAATGGGGATGCTCAGGGGGAGCTCTTTCAGAAGGTGGCACAATGTAAGCCACCAACATATCAAGGGGAGCTTGATCCTACCATATTGGAAAACTGGTTGAGGGAATTTGAGAAACTATTTGGAGCTGTGGGATGCCCTGAAAACTCAAAAGTGAGTTGTGCTACTTACTATCTAAGGGGTGAAGCTGACCTTTGGTGGCAACAAAATGAGACTACCATTAGAGCGCTACCTGGGTTCAATTGGGCTAAGTTCCAAGAGAAAGTAAGAGACAAGTTTTATCCTAGCTTTTTGCAGAAGCAGAATGCTGAGGAATTCTCAAACCTTAAGATAAGATGTCAGTTACGGAATACTACAGCAAGTTTATTGAGTTGTCCAGTTTTGCTGAAGAGTCTGTTGCTACGGAGAAAGCAAAGACTAGGAAATTTGAGAGTGGTTTAACTACTGATTTGTAGTTAAAGCTGTGCGGGAAAGTATTTGAGACCCTGGATGAATTACATGGAAGGGCCGCACACCTTTGTGCATTGGAGGAGAAGAAGAAGGAGTTAGCTGAGATAGAAGGAAGAGAGAAGAGGAAGGAAGTGGGGCATGTTTCCGGTAACCAGTAGGGAAACCAGAATGGTTTTAAGAAGCAGAAGTACCACCATAACAATAACTTCCACAACAATAATAACTTCCAGGGTAATAACCGTCAGGGAGGCCGTAACAACAATGGAGGGGCTAGAAACAATAACCAGGGGAATAAAAAGAATGGGAGGATTTATTTTTGCAAGAGGTATAGAAATAATCACCCTGGGAAGGATTGCGAGGGCAATTTGGTCGCTTGTCGTGTTTGTAATAAACTTGGGCATAGGGAGTATGAGTGTTTCTCCAAGAATAGCAATGGGAACAAACAAAACAACAATAATTCAGGAGGAAACCAGAAGAATTTCTAGGGGAACAACAACAACTTTACTGGGAATAAGGGAGTGCCACTAGTAGAAAAAGGCTTATTTGCGTCGCTCATTTATAGTGTATTTGCGTCGCTTCTATGAGCGACGCAACTGCTCGCGACGCAAATGACTTAAAAGTCATTTGCGTCGCTTCTAGGCGCGACACAAATAAGAGTCATTTGCATCGCTCCTTTATAAAGGAGCGACGCAAATGACTCTTCTAATAAACTTCTTTTTTGTTATTTGCGTCACTCCTTTATAAAAGAGCGACGCAAATGACTCTTATTTGCATCACTCCTTTATAAAGGAGTGACGCAAATGACTCTTCCGATAAACTTCTTTTTTGTTATTTGCGTCACTCCTTTATTAAGAGCGACGCAAATGACTCTTCTGATAAACTTCTTATTTGTTATTTGCGTCACTTGTTTATATAGGAGTGACGCAAATGACTGAGTAGACAATACAAAATTGCTGTATTTGCGTCACTTGTTTGTTTAATGAGTGACGCAAATGAGGTGAATTTTTTATTTTTTTTAATTATAATAATTGCCTTGTATATGTTTGTAGTACTTGTTTTCCTTACTAGTGGTATAAAGTAATATGCTAACGCTAATATAATTGAAATTAAAATGCAATATTATTGAATAATGCAAATGTAAATTTCGGCAGAGTCTCCTTCGTAATTTGGCCTACCCATAAAATTGGGAATGACGACATTATATTAACAACCTGTCCAATAATTTACATCTCAATATCATAGACATTATACTCATCATCCCAACACCAATTAACCAAATTCATTCATTTCAAGCCTATAATCCAAAACAAGAGTCCAACATGCGCTAAGTGTAAATCTAAAGTTCAACATTACATATAAAATACTCTGCCCAAATATCTCGAATCTCATTTATCTCCTCCTCGGTGTACGGTGTAGTTCTTGAAAAATCCTATCAACACAACAAATATACAAGAGGAAAGTTTTAATTCAAGATTGTAGCTAACATCATATCAAATTGTATTTATCAAACAAAAATGAAATATTTGACAACTCATACCTTAATAAGATCCTCACTACTATGATGATGTTTAAGAATTTCGTACATATAACGCATGACGTAGTAGCCACACTCACGTCCACCCAATTGTTGAGGACACTACATGTAATATATTTATAAGTTGAATTAAATCGACTACAGCCTAGGACTCAACATCGGAATGCTAGAGCTATAACAGATTAAGGTGAAGAAATTAAACAGTAGAGGAAAAATGTTAATTTAAGTTCATATTACCTAGCTTCTTATATAAGTAAGCTTCATCCTCGGTGGCGGAAAATGTTCTTTCATTACTCATGCTCTTCCGCAGTCTAGCTTGTGGTGTATCTGTGCTCCCTAGTCCCAATCCAACAGATAGAAAAAAATCTGCAGCAGGTTTACAATATGAACATTGTTAAGTTAATATATGTAGCCTGTGAAGCAAAATGTAAAAGGAATCCTACTCTGCTTGCTATTATATTATTATCTTGCCAGAAATGATGTGAATTTTAGTACAAATATGAAATATTGGTTTTGAAGTATGCTTATTTATTTATTGTTATTTAATATGTACTTCGTACAAGATATAGGTGTTTTGATTTGATCAGAAACAAGAAATGACCACGCTAAAATCAGGGTACTGATCAGCTCATAAATTCTTTTAAAACCTTCCTCTCTCACTTTGTTGTGGTCCTCTTCCACTTCCTTACTAAACTATTAATTCAAATTACCTACTTTTGCCTCATATATCTAGATTTCAATTAACACCACTCCTCAATAGGAAATCACAATCAAACCCCCCCTCCTCCCTCTCTTCTAATGACCTCACATCAATAAAAATCTTTTGGTATTTGGTTAAATTGCTATGTGATGTACCCGGAGAAAATGTAAGTGGCCAGGACTATGGATAACTAACCACTATAGGTTTAATGACAACTAGACACTTTTGTTTAAAAACTGATGATGCCCTACTCAAATTCTGCTACATAGATGAAAAATGCAAGTTGAAATGCCTTCATGTACCAGGGAAAAAAAGAAAAACACAGAAGAGAAAAAATACCTAAAAGGACACAAGCTACTAGGCTACAATGCAACTAAATCATTAAGCAAAAGTTAAGGGCACTGCACAATTATATACTGATTCAAGTAGAAGAAAAACAACAAGGTAATCAACTTGCAGATGAAGGAGAAAACAATGCACATAGAAAAACGCCTTTGTCGAGTAAATCTTTGCATGTATCAATCTCAAAAGAAGTCCTTAGGATATGCTCAGTAACCTTGCCAATGCCTCCAATCTGTCCGTAAAGCATATAAAGCAAACAAGTGATGAACAAATGTTCATGTTCACTACAAAATTCAATAGGTTTTACAATTTACATTTATTTCCTTTCATAACATTCTAAATTACATAAAATATACCAAAAAAAGTAAAAAATAAATAAATTGGGGAGGCTCATAACAAGTACCTTTCTTATTGGGAGGGAAGATATGAAAGTCATGATAAAAATTCGATCATTTGGCAAATAAATTGTCCATTTGGCTTATTTATATCTGAGCAAACCTAAAAATCATACAATAAACACAAATCCCGAGAATTTATGTCAATATCACAATACAAAAAAGGCATACATCAAAGAACAGGGCATCCAAATCTGCTATTTTCAAAGTTGGTAGAAATTTTTTTGCACATTTAAAGATGTAAATTACAACCTAAGATTGATAAAGAATCCTCAAAAAAAGGCAGAGTACATTGTAGCTCATATTTTTAAATCCCAAATAGAAGTTATAGGAAAAAAGAGAATTGATCACATCTTTAACAGAAGCTAGACAAATAACACTCAATCCCAAAGTCAGTCAATTATTGAAAGAGGGAACCCTTGGGTTTAGCTTTCTATAGGAGGTTTTAAATTACGTTCTACTTTGGCTTCATTTATATCTAATAAATAAGATACTCAAGGCTTTATTTTGATACCACAGAACTTTAAAACAGGAAGGCTTATAAAGCTCAGTGAGAACAAGACTAAACACATAGAACTAGTAAAGGTTGTCAAAGAAAAGTGGGGAGCCACTATGACCAATTACATGAATAATATAGAGAGCATATCTGCTACTTGGGCTGCCAATATTTTTCCATGAAGTCATTTTACCCATTCAACTATGAGAGAAAACAAGTGGATGTTAAAAAAGGTTTTGGTAAATTTGGCATTATCTGTAAGATCATAATGTGCACAAAGTCGTTCCATGAAATATAAGTAGTGTACCATTATTGATTATTCCAAATCATCAGATGCACAAAATGATAGCAAAAACTCCATAAAGGACTTAAGCTGAAGGAAGGAACATATCCAACTTCCTAATTATAGGACAGTGTTGAGACTGTCGACCTTAACAATGATGAACATCATTTTGATAGGAAAGTTTCATTTCAAGAACACCTTATTACAGAGTACATCTTAATCTTTTTCACTTCAGCAACTCAAAAGTAAATTAATAGACTTTTATATACTAAGCATGAAGCACATAATCTGCAAAAATAAAATTCTAAAATTTGTGAAAAAAATCACAACAAAATAGTAAAATTAAACTAAGGTCAAGCAAAATTGAACCTTAAATTCCATCTGCAAGTTTGAAAACAGTAGAAAAAAAAGAACAGATCTTACCTTCGTTGAAATCGACTACATAAATTTCACCAAAATAGAACCAAAATTCCTTAGAATCGAGTAAAAAACCATAAATTTCTTTGATGAACCCTAAATTCGAAAACGAACCCAAAAAATCTGTTATACAGAAATCTGCTTGTAATTCTAAAATTCGTGCAATTCATTTACAATTAAACTCTAAATATCTATGTAGATTGAAAATAAGATAAAGAGATGAAGAGCTCTTACATCGGATGAAGCAAGCTTGCAACTTCTGCAAAAGTAAGCAAAAATCCCATAGAATCGAGTACAAACCCTAAGTTTCAAATAATCGAAACAAATTGCAACTAATTAAAAGAACCCTAAATTCGAAACACAAACTTTAATTCTCTCACAATTTTGTGGGGCGTTTTGGGTCGATCTTTTGCTCGAAAAATAGTGGGTTTTGGCTCGAATATACGGGGTTTGCCTACAATTTGCTGGGTTTATCGATTAGTGGTCGAATTTGTAGGTTTTGGGCTCGAATTTTCGAGTTATAGATGTTGAATTCGCTGGTGTTTGCAGGTGGAATGGCAGCGCTGGGGAATTCTAGGGTTTTACTGGATGAATTTTTTAGGTTTTGCTGTTAGAAATTTTGGGAATTTTGGGGTTGAATTTGCTGAGAGTTTTGAAGAACTTCGAACGGCAGCGTAAGTTTTTATTTCATTTTTTTGTATACTGAAGAGTCATTTGCGTCATTTATCAGGAATTGAGTGACGCAAATAACAATAGTATATGCGTCGCTCCTATTTATAAAAGTGACGCAAATATAAATAAGCGGGAATGTATCAGACTTTTGCTTCGCTTTGTAGCCAATGTCCGACGCAAATTACTTATAATGAAGCCAAAATATCTCATTTGCGTCATTTATTTCTACAAGTGACGCAAATAAGGCGACGCAAATGAGCATTTTTCTACTAGTGTGCAACAGAATGGAATGAAGAACAGTAACACCAACATTGGGAACAACCAACAAAAGGTTGGAACTGCAGGGACACTGAATGTTTTGAGTAGGCATGAGGCGGATTCCACGAAAGATGTTATCACTGGTACTTTTTCTATTAACTTTATTCCTGTTAAAGTATTGTTTGATTCTGGTGCAACATTTTCTTTTGTTTCTAAGGGTATTGTTTCAAAACTTAAAGACTGTTTAAAGACAGTAGAAGTATTAGATTTACCTATAACCATTCCGACAGGTGGGTTAGTGAAATGTACCAAAACCTTTAGAAAGATATTCCCGTCTGACCTTATTGACTTTGGGCTGAGTGACTTTGATCTTATTCTGGGAATGGACTGGTTGAGTAAGTATAATTCTGAGATTAGTTGTAGATCACAGAAAGTGAAGATGGTCACAAGCGGAAATGAATCAGTGACTTACTAGATGAATGGTAAAACCAAGTGCCCAAGGTTAATATCAGTTCTAAAATTAGGAAAATACATGAAGAAGGGACATCTAGTATATTTCTATAGTGTTAGGAATATGGACCATGAATAGGTGAAAAATCTAGAAGATATAGAAGTAGTCAATGAATTCCAGGATGTATTTCCAGAAGAGATTCCTGGAATGCCACCTAAGAGGGCAATCGACTTTACCATAGATTTAGTTCCCAAAACAGCTCCAATATCCAAGGCACCATATCAAATGGCACCTGCAGAAATGAGTGAGTTAAAGGTGCAATTGCAAGATTTATTGGAAAAGGGATACATTAGACCAAGTGCTTCTCCTTCGGGAGCGCCAGTTCTATTTGTGAAAAAGAAGGATGGAAGTATGAGGTTGTGTATTGACTACATGGAACTAAATAAAGTGACCATAAAGAATAAGTATCCCTTACAAAGAATCGATGATTTGTTTGACCAACTAAAGGGTGCCACAGTGTTTTTAAAGATTGACTTGAGATCTGGGTATCACCAATTGAGGATTGCCGACGAGGATATTCCTAAAACCGCATTTAGGACAAGATATGGACACTACGAGTTTACAATTATGCCTTTTGGATTGACAAATTCTCCAGCAATCTTTATGGATTTGATGAATAGCGTGTTTCATCAATTTATGGATAAGTTTGTAGCAGTGTTCATAGATGATATATTAGTGTACTCAAAGAGCAAGGAAGAGCATGCAGAACACCTAAGGGCAATTCTGCAAACACTAAGAGAAAACCACCTTTATGCAAAATTCTCTAAGTGTGAGTTTTGGTTGGAAAAGGTAGCCTTCTTAGGACATTTCTTGTCCAAGGACGGAGTAGAGGTAGACCTAGCCAAAATAGAAGCTATTAAGAGCTGGCCTACACCCAAGACAGTATCTGATGTGCGAAGTTTCTTAGGTTTAGCAGGGTATTATAGGCGTTTTGTCAAGGATTTTTCCAAGATTGCTAAACTTATGACTACCTTGATGAAGAAGGACAAGAAGTTTGAGTGGAACGAAAAGTGTGAAGAGGCGTTACAACTCTTGAAACACAAACTAATTACAGCACCATTGCTTACACTTCCGGATGATAGTGGATTGTATGATGTGTATAGCGATGCATCAAAGAATGGCTTAGGGTGCGTGCTTATGCAAAATAGAAAGGTGATTGCATATGCATGGGCAGTTAAAGACCCACGAAGTAAAATATCCAACCCATGATTTGGAATTAGCTGTAATCATTTTTGCACTAAAAATTTGGCGCCATAATTTGTATGGAGTGAAATGTAGAATTTACACAAACCATAAGAGCTTAAAGTACATTTTCACCCAAAAGGACTTGAACTCTCCTCAAAGGAGATGGTTAGAGTATACGACGGATTATGATTTAGACATACAATACCATGAAGGGAAAGCGAATGTGGTTGCGGATGCTCTAAGTCGTAAAACTAGTCATGGACTAAACTCGTTAGTAGTAGCTAATGAGTTATGTAGGGAAATGATGAAATTAAATTTAGAAGATGTAGAATGGGGAGTACCAGCGGGTATTCTTGCGAGTCTAAGCATCCAACCAACAATATTCGACGAGATTCGAGTCAACCAAGAGGGAGATGTAAAGTTGGATAGGATTTGTAAGAAAATTAAGCAGGGAAAAACTACAGACTTCAAGATTCACGAAGATGGGAGTTTGATGTACAAAGATCGATATTGCGTACCACAGAAATGTGAGGAAGTGAAGAGAAAGTTGATGGAAGAAGGCCACAATACACCTTACTCAGTACACCCGCGAGGAGATAAGCTAAATAAGGATTTGAAGAAGATGTTTTGGTGGCCTAGAATGAAAAATGAGGTTGCTGAGTTTGTGGTAAAGTGTTTAACGTGTCTAAAGGTGAAGATAGAGCACAAGAGGCCTCAAGGGACTGTGTAGTCATTAGAAATTCCAGGATGGAAGTGGGATTGTATTTCAATGGATTTTGTGACTTGCCTTCCTAAGTCAAAGAGTGAAAATGATACCATTTGGGTAGTAGTGGATAGACTTACAAAATCAGCAGTGTTTATACCAATGAAGGAAACTTGGAAGATGGAGCAACTTGCGAAAGCTTACATCAAACATGTTGTGAGGTTACATGGGGTTCTAAAGGATATTGTATTTGACATAGATTCCAGGTTTCTCTCAAAATTCTAGAAAAGTGTAAAAGAAAATTTTGGTACAACACTTAAGATGAGAACGACAAACTGTGAGAACCATTCAAACTGTGAGAACCCTGCCACAGATGGGCAAACTGTGAGAACCATTCAAACCTTGGAGGACATGTGGAGAGCTTATGTTATAGACTTCCAGGGAGGATGGGAAGATAGCTTGGATTTAATTGAATTTTCCTACAATAATAGTTACCATGCGAGCATAGTAATGGCACCATTTGAGGCTTTGTATGGGAGGAAATGTCGTAGTCCAATTTGTTGGAACTATATTAGTGAAACTATGATTCTTGGGCCTCAAATGATTGAAGATACAGTTAACCAAGTAAGGGAAATTCAAGCTATAATTCAAGCAGCTCAAGATCGCTTAAAGAGCTATGCAGACTTAAAGAGAAGGGAAGAAGAGTTCGAAATTGGTGATAAGGTGTTGTTAAAGGTGTCACCAATGAAAGGAGTGATGAGATTTGGAAAGAAAGGAACGCTCAGTCCAAAATACATTGGTCCATATGAAATACCGCAAAGAATAGGCAAAGTGGCTTATAGGTTAGCCTTACCTATGGAACTTAGTAAAGTACATGACGTATTTCATGTGTCCCAATTGAGAAGGTACATTCCTGATAAATCCCATGTGCTACAACCCGAAACCATTGAGTTAGATCAAAGCTTAACTTATGAGGAGAGACCTGTCAAGATTCTTGACAGTAAAGTGCGTAGTACACGCAATAAGAACGTTAAGATTGTGAAAGTACTTTGTTCTAACCAAGATTATGAGGAAGCCACTTGGGAGACAGAAGATGAAATGAAAAAAGAAATAACCAGAGTTGTTTCA